AAATAATGTTATAAGGAGTACGGTCTAGACCTGCTCTATTTGAAAAGTGTCTTGAGATAACTTCTGTTATGAATTGGTGCTATACAAATAAAACTGAATTGATACTGAATTGAATTGATTGGGACATTTGTATTGCTACTACATTTCTGGTATCTCTAGGCCAATAGTATTTGCACATTGTCACTTCTGCTGCTTCACTTCAGGGAGTAAGATTATGAAAGTTAGTTATTATGAAATTAACATTAACCACAGATGAGGTCATCAATACTGGCCCACAGACGGTTGAGATAATTACATAAGTGTGACTTTTGAGTTAAGTATATTATAGTATCTACTCACCTTAACCTTGTTTAGTTTGTTGAATTCTTTTTTCACTTCTTCCTTGGCTTGCATGTTTCTTTTAAATATGAGAGCACGAACTTTATCTGATGAACTGCAAGAACATATTTGTATTATGTCGCACGTCATACAGTATTTGAAGAACTATAACCTGAATTTTTTTTCAAAAACATTTTTTGCACCTCTTCTCAGAATAAAAGAAAGAAAGAACTATTTAATCTCATAATCATTATTGCCTCTGGGTATTCTCCAGGCTAAAAGTCACCAACTGGACTTTACTGGGGGACTTCAACGCTCACGTGGGAAACAACAGAGAAAACTGTAGTGGGAGATTGCTCATCCAGTTTACATGTGTTTTGTTTTGACTTTGAGAAGGCTTGCAACCATGTACCACAGGGTTTCCTTTAGGGGATGCTGTGTGAGTATGGGGTACAGGGACATTATGGGAACTGTAGTTCCTAATCTTGGCGCAAGATCATCTACCAAACAGAAGTAAGATTTGTTTGAGGGAGTCCCTGCAGTTTCAGACTTTGAACTAACAAAAAGCACGTTACCATTACAACCATGAGACAATATTATATTTACATTTGCTTGTGTTTACTGCTGTTGAGCTATTGGCCACCACACTGTCTATTATATTATATTTAACTACCAGTATGTACTTTGGGGATTTTAAATCACTTACTGGTCATCTGAATCTTCAATAACATCAGACTTGGTGCAGATAAAGTGAATCTGCTGACATTGGCCACCATTTCCCATCAGGCTACAGGTCCTTTCCAGGATCTCCCAGGGTTCTGTCTCTGCTGCTGCTCGATTAATGTCAGTCACAATCCACACAGTAGAACAACGTCCAACAACCTGAAGGGGCATAATGAAGTTAATTATGAATAATTAATTGTCAGTTATTTGTAATAACATGATGTTACAGTTTCCAGATAGCACAATAATACACAATAATCAGCAGTGCGAGTGAATAAATTACCTCTTTCCACATTTCATCTCTGCTTTTGTTACGGTCCCCATTTCCAGGAAGGTCCACAAGTGTGACGTGCTGGAGAAGATCATTACTAGGGACCCTGATAGTCACACACTTCACTAGTGGCCAGTACCACCTCTTTATGTCTTTACTTTCTCCATCTGTTTTCTCGCTTCTTGTGTATTTGACTAACTTTGCAGAAAGCTCTTCAGCCTGTAATAAATTATAGAATAAAATTAAAGGAACACAAGACAATTTTATTCATATCGGCATTCAAACTTCAAACTTTACATATTGCATGAAATAATTAATTAAGAAACCCTATCATTAAAAGTAATAATAAAGGCAGCAAAAAGTCAGATAAATCATATTAATAAATAATAAATAGTAAACCTGAAGTGAAGACTAAAGTTAAATTCTCAACCATTGTTAATTCAGGGAAAGTGACTGATCATTGAGCTCTTTTACAGCAAAGCCCTGAGTTCACATTGATATTGGCTAGAAGGATATACAACAACAACCACAAATAAAAAAATAACTAGCTGACATGTCTGGCAAGAATGATGTACAGCAATAAAAACAATAAAATGATGAAAAAGTGAAACAACAACAACAAAAGTACTGCAACTGTAAAAACAATAAAATGTAGAAATGGTTATAAAAACTAGGCGATAATGAATAGTTAAGTTTTACGCTTAGAACTGTATTGCAAACATGATCAGATTTCGACAATGCCTTGGGTTATCTGCAAAAGTATACTGAGTATGTGTATCATAGTAGCCTAATGCTACTTCCCTGTGTGTTGTTTCCTGTATAATGCCAGTAGAATTTAGGATCTTAATGCGGTCCACATTTGGGCACAATGATGGAGGCAAAATCCTGATCGGAATTGGTTTTGGAAATTGGATTTATTTACTTTCTTATGAAGAGATGAAGATATATGGATTTGTAGGTATTGAGGACACATGGATTAAGATATATGTCTGTATATATATACAATAACTTAAACTAAATATACAACTTACTGATTCACATGTCAAAGTCTTCCTCCTGGAATGGAGAAATTCTGGGATTTCTTTGAAATACTTGTAATCCATGAGGTTTTCAGGTTTTTTGTTTTTCCATTCTTCTCCATACAGTGCTGACAGCTTTTCATCAGTGTCGTTATCCTCGAGGAAATTAAACAAGGACCACAACTCATCATTCCACACCTAAAAAAAAAAGAAAGAATTACATTTAACTAAATTGAATAACATGGTTGTAATATAACCAGCAACTGTATGTTTATAGCTATTTTATACACTAGTTTATACACTAGTTTCAAGTAAATATAAACACATGCAGCTCATTTTACCTCTTTTGTAATGAACTCAATGTCTGCCTCATACTTCCTCTGCATGTTTGCCTCCACTTTAATCATGACTGAGGTACATGCACTGATGCCTCCAGAGGGCAAGAGAATCTTCCGTCCAATGACAGCATTTATCAGAGAGCTTTTTCCAGCCCCAGTTTTACCAAAGACACCGACCATCTCCCTCTTGTCTGTCTCCAGCTTACTGATTTTAATCCTGTTGTACAAGAATTTAATGTGTAAATTGATTCATTTGGAAAATATACAAACACTAAAAAGAATGAGTCAAAACCATCATATAGATTCTAAGGGAAGTTGTATATTAGTGATCTGTCTAATGCACAGAAACAGTGACACTTGATTTCTGGTGGGGTGCTGTTACTGATTTCCCTCTTGGTAAACATGAGTGAGGACAGCAAATGTCAAGGTTTGTGTTTGTCTTTATATTGCCATCTCATACCAATCCTAAACCACTGTGTTTAATTTTCCAGAATAAAAATTCCTGTATGCAAAGTTTCTGATATCAGGCCCCATCATGAGTCAAACCATGATAGCGTGTGCATTCAGTTAATAGACTAACTGGCTTGTGACAGGAGCTTGTACAGTTAACAGTGCACAGGTAAGAGACGTCCTCTTATGTGCACAGGTAAGAGCGGTCCTCTGGGAGATGTGGAGAATACCATATGCTGTATTTTTTTTGCCTTATGTGCATTGAAATCGTAGATTGGCTTGAAATATCTCAGGATGTATTTTTGTGAACCTGCACTTACACTAATCTAAGAGCAACATTAAGACAACCAACAGACCACTGTAGTACTTACTTCAGGAAAGAATTGAGCTTTTTGTTGTCTTGTTTGGGTATTCTCTCATCGACCCATCTCATGATGTTTTTCACATCATACAGTATGATTTTTTCTGTGAGTGAATGCAAAGAAGTAGAGGTAAAAAAAATGACATTGCAAGTTTTAACCCTACAGTAGATTGCCATTGTTTAGATAGTAATATTCTGTATATACCTCTGTATGATCCAGGTATAGTGTCGTGTCGTGGTTTCTTAGTCTGTGGTTGCCGTCTGCTGGACTCGCCCTGAAGATCCAACTTTCGCTTTCCTTCTTGTTTTTTTTTAAATACAAAAAGAAACCAAAAACAAAAGCATGTTGGACCATCCTCTGACAATATTAAATCATGGTCTCAGTAAGCTGTTCGAGAAATTAATGCCTTGAAAACATACATGAACTCTACATGTAATCAATAGGATACTGTGTATCTCACCTTTATCACTTGTGTTACTGGTGGACGGCAAATCCTGAGGATGAATATGAACATTTCACTCTATCAAGAACTTACATTCACACAAGTTTTGTCCTCTAACAGGTTTTGACAGGCTTGAATAAACATCTTAACATTTCACACAACAATATTTGCATTATTATTATTATTATTATTATTATATATTATTATTATAATTATGTTATAAGGAGTTCGGTCTAGACCTGCTCTATTTGAAAAGTGTCCTGAGATAACTTCTGTTATTAATTGGCGCTATACAAATAAAACTGAATTGAATTGAATTGAATTATTATCATCCAATCAGGGATGACCCTGGAATGTAGAGTCCAGAAAGGGTATAACAAATGATCACTGGAACATATTTTTTCCTCAGTCAACAACACTGTGACCCAATGAGACGATTCTTAAGATATCTCAATCTAATACGTAGAGGTCTCATTCTTACCAGATCCAAATCAACGGCTTCTTCAGGCTTCTGCTGACACTGCAGATAAAAGTAACACTCTTAAACGGAAGGTCATGCACTGAAAATGTACTCTATACTCTAAATGTACTATGAAGAATAGCTCGTTCACTGATTACATACATGTAAAATTCAATGTGATGCTTACCTGAGGAGAATAACCTGGACCTTTATGCTCCTGTTTAAACTGCATGTGAAAGTCACACTGAAAGTGCAAGGTCATGTAAAAATATGAGTGGACATTGGAAATATACTCTGTATGATTGTAATAATGCTTTAGATGATACCTAACTGCATGAAACTGTATTCAACTTACTTGAGCTGAAGAATCAACAGTTTCCTGGTTTGTTGTTGTGTTTTTTTTCTTCCTAGTGACAATAAGAAATAGTTGAAAATCCATAATAGGTTAAACATTTAAAATTCTGGTAAATGCTATTATTGTCAATGAGTCTGTAGTCATCATCAAAACTTTTAACAGACATATTTGCTGTTAATTATAAATACACATGTCTACATCGTAAGATTTATGAGTCCAAACACAGTATTCATGTAAACTATCTTTACAGTGAAGAACTTTACCTTTAACAACTTGAGTTTATTCTTAAATTTTGCCCTGTGTCCCACTCTGGGGATCAAGCTATCAATTTCTGGATCATCAAGAAGGTAAAGAATTTCCTCATCAATGCCTTCATCTGTAATTGAACAAAAAAGAAAAATTGAGAATGAATTAATTTCAAATAGGTGCAGAAATCAGTTTCTTATGGAGTGAAATATGTGTAGGTTCGATAGTTTTACTTTTGTAGTGCATTACAACCTCACAGAGCAAAGAAGCATGGAAATACTTTACCTTTAAATCTTTCAATCAGCTCAGCGAGACCCCATTCCATTAATTTGTTAAGAACAAAATCATCCATGACCAGCAACTGCAAGGTAATCAAACATGTTTTAGACAGTTACAACAACCCTGCCCACCCCCCATCCCCCGCCTTTTTTCCCTTTAAGAAGTGTTGTGAAATCAAAGCTGCATATGGCTTAACTTTATTTTATTGAGTTAAAGATCTGTTCATCCTACTCATAATTTGGATACACTGACAGATCATTTTGCTGGTCTCTTTGAAGCAACTGCTGAAAGCAGTCAATTAATAAAAATAAAAAAAAACTCCACTCCACTCCTCTCTAAACCACTCCCCCATGATAACATAGCTCCACTCCTTTTTATCTAATTTCCTTTTTTTTTTTTTACAGTCCAAACCATACCAAGAAGAACAAAGACAACCTGCTGTGAAAGTTAACATTGACTTTTTCACCTTTAAACTATGATTAATGTGTTACATTCTGTTTGAAGTTAACATTTTGTGTTCATGCTATATTCTAGAAAGTTTTCTATGTTACAAAAAAGAAAATAAAAATAAGGCCAGATTGTGTAATGATGTAAGTCTTTTTTTGTACTGAAAAATCCTCCACATCCACCAAACACCTGTGCAAACCATAATCTACCATAACTGAAATAAATAGCAAAAAACGTATTTCTGGATCTTGTGTTTAAATGTGAACAGGATGTTCAGTGAGCCAATGCCACCAATTCAATAGACTTTTCACCCTACTAAATTGATTATCCTGATAACATTTTAATTTCCACTAACAGGAAAAGTAAATAGCACTTCAAAATGAACTCAGTGTCTCAGTGTTATAATCAGTGGAAATATAATGCATTGATGTTAAGTGTACTTACATTTTGTCTGTTCCTCTTTAATGCACGAACATGACTCCGCTGGTGCTTGATTTAACTTGATCTCTTTCTTTTATATTGTCTCCACCTCTCTGTCTCTTCTCTGCCCAAAAAACAGGTTCAGCAAGAGAATTTAAAACATGTCAATGCTTGTGTTCAAAGTCCTCAGCCTTGATGATGTGTGTTCACTTAGCAACATATACACCTGGGAACATGCACACCTAGCAGTGTTTAAAAGGCAATGGTGGTGTGAGGGGCTGGCATCTAAATCCAAAGCACCGCCCTGTTAGGTAGAGTCAGAGGGAGCTCCCCGCCTTCATAAGGACAGGTGAGGGCAATTAGTGCCTCTTTGTCTGAGGCCTGGTTGTGTGGCAGGATTGCTGTGTCGTGCAGGTAAGGGAGAGAGGAGGAGGAAAATGTTATATTGCCTTATTAGAAATCTAATGAGATTTTTTGTATATTTAGTTGTGGTGTGACTGTCCTGAGTGATCCAGATGGAGCATGCTCTGTAGCCCTGTGCTGAAGAGGTATGTCTCAGTGAACTTTGGGGCTTCATTAAACTGTAGATATATCACTAATATGATAAAATCTCTTCAGGCAAAGACTCAGCTCCTCCATCTCCCCTTTTAAGCCAGAGTAGAGCTTTTCAACTGTTGCATTGCTTCTTAGCAGAGCCCCACATGAACAAGGTAACTGAAACCAGTATGGTGATGTAGGAGGGTCATGCCCTCTGAGGTATGTTGTTGTCAGCTGAGGAGACTGACTTTTGTTATGTTTTTCTTTCCCCTTATTGCAGATTTAAGGCCAGACTGCTGCTTTGCCTGAGCCAGTTCGCCAAGGCGGTTGGCGAATGTGTTACAGACTGTACAACTTACATAATCTGTAGATGGTTGAATATTGTCTTTTTATATTGGGTGTAGTGACCCTGGATGTTTGTGAATCTGAACCAACCGAATCTCACTGTATTTTCCGTCTTTTGTTTGATTAGGCAGTGGGACGACCTGCGGGGAGTAGTCGTGGGATATGCACCCCTCCTTGCATGCAGTGTGGTATGTTTGAAGGGTAGTGGTCACGTCACTGGTTTATAGGTTTGACTTTCCTTGCAGTGCAAGTGGTAGTGTTTGTAGTGATCAGTGTGCACACCAGGTGATTTCTATTGGGTGATAGTCTCCCTGCGGTGAGTACCCTGTTCTGCCTATTTCTCGCGATCATTTAATCTAATTGTATTTTATGTTATGGTGAAGCCTTTTGCTATTTATATACTGGTTGTTTTGACCATTTTAGTATTGTGGAATAAACTAATTTTGACTAGTTTTATGGTTTCTCTCTTCTTTTTCAGGTCTTTTGCCAGTATAATTTATTTTTAATAAATATTATTGGAGAGCTGAATGCACGTCTCCCGCTTTTCATGAACCCTTTAAAAATTGTGTCAACGCTCAGATGGTTGGTGTTTAGGGCTGGTATAGTTCTATTCTGGGTATCGGTCCGCATTGTAACCTGGGTGGGGTCACAGTGGAATAAGTATTGAGATCCTTTACTTGCGTATAAGCATCAATACAATATACAAAATACTCTATAAGCTGCATTCAAAATCCCAATTAGACAAAATTATATAATAATTATCTGGAAAATGTACTTATCAAAATGGAATAAGAAGTAAAATATTCCTCTCTGAAATATGATGGAGTTGAAGTATAAAGTAACATAAAGAGGAAATAGTAACCTCAAGCTCTCCTATGTGTTTGGTAGAGGCACAAGTCAACTATCTACATTTACATTCACAGCTGACATTCTTGTTCACTTTGTCCACACTGGCCGAATCTCGAACACTCTCCTTGTCACTGCCTTTTTGGTGGACCTATCGGGAAGCTTTAGTTTCATTTCCGTGTTGAAATCATTCCTAACGTGTGTACACATTATTTATAATTACACACATATATCTACAGCAGCTTACTCACCATTGCACACATGCAAAACAAAGTCATGCAGAGTGCAAATCATTTACACTGGTGTCCCTGTCTCTACATGTCTGGCAGTAACTTTCTTGGCCAGTTAGAGAACTTTAAGATAAGTTTGTTCCTGTTTGTGCTGAAAAACTTAACCTTGTTTTTTCCTGTGCCTCAGGATCATCATCTTCACTTCAGCTACCTGCCCGCTCCTTCCTATCAGCCACACTGCCTCCATCTTCAGTTCCACTTTGCCTGGATCTCAGCTATAATCCTCTCACCACTGCCAGTCAGTAGATGTGAGGATACTGGTGAGCCAAACTTCTTCGTCTGTCCCCCGATCTCGTATGCAATTGCCTGCCACTCTTCTTTGGAATAATTCATCTTTGTCTATGTCGGCTTTTGTGGATTCTGGAGCAGATGAGAACTTTATGCTCTTTGCTCTCCAGGCAGGCATTCAGATGACTGCACTCAGCTTACCCTGACTGCTAATCCTCTTGATGGAAGGCTTTTGGCTCAAGTAACCCACCAAACCGCTCCTGTGCTTCTGTATCTCTCTGGAAACCACCGTGAACAAATCCAGTTCTACGTGCTAACATCACCCAATGTACCTCTGATCCTTGGACACCCCTGGTTAATCAAACACAGCCCTCATCTGGACTGGGCTACTGGTAGGGTGGTGAGTTGGAATACATCTTTCCATGACTCTTATTTGCAATCTGCTCTCCCCCCACCAGAGGCAGCTGCCACCTGACTGTGGAGGTGGGTGTGGTTTGCGCTCAGCTGCAGGAGGGAGAGGTGTGGGCAAGGCTTGGGAGAGCGGCACCAGGTGAGTTGATTACCTCACCTGCCCTTGATTACCTGATGACTCTACCCTTATCTTTGCAGTAGTGTGCTGGGCCAGAGAGACGCTACCGGGAGTGCCACTGAGAGCCAGAGGCGACTGAGCTAGACTTTGTGTGCCGTGTGAGCAGTACGCTGAATAAAAGTGGTGTATTCAACGACGGAGTGTGGTTGTTTGTGTGCTGAGGGAACCCCGTCTGTAGCTCGACGTGCTACACTGACCAGTCCCTGAGCCGCCAGATTTGTCATCTGTCCCAACTGAATATCATGATTTGGGGGAGGTCTTCAGCAAGGAGAAGGCCCTTTCCATGCCATCTCATCCTGAAAGGGAGGCAATGGAAAAGTACATCAACAACTCGGTTGCTGCAGGTATTATAAGTTCTTCTTTGTCTCAAAGAAAGACAAAAACCTTCATCCATGTATTGATTACCGGGGCCTAAATAACATAACTGTCAAAGTATCCTCTTCCACTTATAAACTCAGCTTTTGAACCTCTTCAAAACTATGATGTTGGTAACAGGGAATTGTTGACAGTTAGACTAATTCATGCTTTGCCCTGCAGATCGCAACTAACAAATCGCTAATCGTCACTGGACTCCTGCACCTGCCTACAAACCAGGTCATAAGGATTGGATTTCCTCTCTAGACATCCCCTTAAAAACAGACTCTAGAAAACTCTCTCCTCATTACATTGGCCCCTTTCAGATTGAAAGAATGAATAAGTAACCCCTCAGCTGTCAAACTTCACCAGTCAATGAGAATAAATCCCACGTTTCACGTATGACAACTAAAACCTGTATCAGTCAGTCCTGTTTTTCCCGTGCCTTAGATCCTCACCTTCACTTCAGGTACCTGCCCGCTCCTTCCTATCAGCCACACTGCCTCCATCTTCAGTTCCACTCTGCCTGGATAATCCTCTCACCACTGCCAGCAGGAGCTTCACATCACAGTTTCATCAGCTAGTTCTCAATAAACCCTTACTTTGGAAATCATAACCAACCTAGTTTGTGTTCTGCTTGTGGGTTCGTCTGTTTAACATAACAAGGACAGTGAAAATAAAATGTATCATTGAAAACAAAACCAGAACTGCAAAAAGGAAACATTAGCACTGAGACTTTTGAACAATGTTTTATTGCAACGGAAACAAGTATTGACACTGAGTCGAGAACCCTTTTCTTCCTGTACACCAACAGCTGCACCTCCAGTCACCAGTCCGTCAGACTCCTGAAGTTCCTGGATGACGCCTCCCTCATTGGGCTCATCTCTTGTAGAGATCTGCCTACAGATGGGAGATTGACCGTCTGGTGACCTGCACTCAAAAAAGTGAACTCTGTGAGTTGTTGAATTGAATAAATGATCCAATATTACATTTAATTAACATTTCTGTGTTTGGTTTTAAAACCAAGTCCACTTTAATAAGTTTAACTTAAAATGAAAACTTCTCAAAGCAAAAGAAGCCAGCTAAGTAAATTCAACATAACACTGTTGAGTGAATTGCACAATCAAACTAAGAATGCTCTAGATGGCTTTCTGCGCATGCTCAGAAGCTGATTCCACAAACTCCACTGTTGCTGTGTGCAAATTGGCGGGCGAATGTGTTCTCGGTCACGATCTTACCCTGCTTTCATCAAATGACATCTATCTCTGTCTGAGTAAGTATATTTTTGATGTTGGAACATTTGTGGATGGTTAGAGAGTGATATTGGTGGTGCTACTTTACTTGTCTTGCGAAAATCTAGCATATATGAGCACATTTTAGCTCATGCTAGCTCGCTAACAAGCTAGCCAATTAACAAAATGCCATATGACAGACATACATTAAAATAACAATTTAACTCTGGAACTCTAGTTTAGCATCTCACCAAATGCAACGTTACATTGGTTTAGTTTTAATGGCATTTTTTTTTTTTTTTGTTAACAATTCATTGTATGGGCAGCAGAGCTCCTGGTAGCAAGGTAAGGTGACCTTAAAAATTGTGTTTACAAGTTTGGGACCATAAGTTTTTTTAACAGCTTAGTTAAAAACAGTGTCATTAGCTTGTATTTAAGCTGCAGGCCAGCAGCTAATGGTAAGCTAGTTAAGTGACTTTTTTTTTTTATGCTAGCGAGTGAGTGAGTGGGCGACCAAGAGTGAGGGAGCTCCGTCAGGACCGGTCAGGACAGACTGCGCTGATCACTCAGAACTGTGTGTAAGTATATTATGGGCCAAATTTTGTGATAAAATATACTATGCAGTCACAGTGCCTTTGAGGAAAACAGAGTTTGAAAAATACGTCAGATGTTGCTGTATGTTGTGACAGAAAAGTGACTTTTGGACCGTTGTTTAGCCTTAGCCTGAATGATAATACAAAGGAAATTTTAAACTAGTATGATTAGTTTTCCACCACTACGTAACTGTTGCTGCCTGCTTCAGAATTGGGGCAGACGCACAATAACGGTCTACTGGTTACCATTCTGCTTCTTTAGCCTTATGTTCTCACTACAGCTGTTTTGACACTACTGAACTACATAGCTGTTAAATGATTGGCTGTTTGCCTGTCTCTCATATCATTCAGGGATATGATAGGCTGTTTGAATGAGCAAGGCAGGGAGCACACGTCGGACTGTCAGATGATTGTACTGCAGGAGTTTTAAAAACATTACTCATGTAATATATTCCCAAATATTTTAGAAGAACATTTATTTCTGCATGTATATGTTTATGAATACAAAAGGCTCTTCTGTATCATTAATAATACATAACTAAATGTGGATGATAGAGTCCTGGAAAATGCATGAAAATATTGATAATATTACTAATGAATAGCCAATTATATATAAAACAAAGAATGCTTTCTTTACCACACCCAGAGTTGGTTATGTGTTGAATGATATATCACTTTCAGGTTTCAGTGCTATCCCAACTGTAAAACTAAACATGTGTTTGCTCTCAATATGTTCAAGTTATAACTGTTTGCTTATCATAAGTCTAACTGATATTAAATAGACTGTATTTATATTTTACAGGTCTTCCATACATTTGTGAGCTTGAGGACTGGACAGTCTGCATTTGTTTGTGGCTCTTCAGTAGTGGTAAGTACAGTTACGAAGTAATACATCCAGACTTAACCTTTAAGTATCCACAGATGTTCAAATCTAATACTGTATATGAATGCTGTCTGCTCAGACTTCTATTACATATGGTTTTAATAATTTTTTTCTGCTTTTTCTTCAGAATAACCTGTCAAGCAATATGGCTACACCGGCAGTGCTTCGCATCATCCTTGGACAAAATGACTCTTCCAAAATAAGCCTGCCTTCAGGAATACCAGATTCTGTTGAGGAACTAAAAAGTGAGATAAAGAGACAATGTGAGGTGGCAGGAGACTTCAGACTGCAATACAAGGACAGTGACTTTGATGAGTTCATAAACCTGAAGTCCACCTCAGACATTCAAAACAAAGCTACTCTCAAACTGATTTACCTCCCAAGTGCTTCGTCTCTAACTAGCCCCTGCCTGTCTTCAGTGGAACCCAGTCTGGATGAGACTGCTTCCATTTCATCTGTGGACACTGACATTCTCTCATCCTCTAGCTCATCATCATCGTCCCTCAGATGTGAGCCATGGCCAGATGTCTTTCCTGTGCCTGAGTTCGTCTATGATGTCGAGCTCCAACTCCAGCGTGCTAATACTGACTTTCAAAATAATGGTATCCTCTTCAGTCCAAGTCCAAGAATGAAGTCAGACATTCTTGAAAGTTTGGCATCCCAGATAATCAAATATAAAGCTTATCCGTGCAATGCTGAATTTGATGCAGTAGCTGAAGCACTCGTGAAGAAACACCCATGTTTAAAGGAGCAAGGTTCTGTTTCTGGCTTTTATGGGTGGAAAATAAGCTTGAAATATAAAATGGCAAACTACCGCACAAAACTGCGCAATATCGGATGTTCCGAGCTGAATGTGAATTCCTTCAAGCGTAAACAAGGTGATCCACGCACATCTCCAAATCAAGTGAAGAAAGCTAGAAGAGCAGAAGTGAACTACTGTCCAGATTATCCAACAGGACAATCCCAAGAGAGCCTTGAGGAAGAGAGACTGGCATTATTGTCCGAAGTAAGAAAGAGCAACAACCAACAGGTGGTTAAGGAGAAAATGGAGAAGACATTTGCTTACAGGCGGCATGAAGTGATTGAAGAAAAGCCTTTCATTGCTGAATTCAAAAGAAGGTGGCCAGCTCTTTTCTCTGAGCAGGAGGTCAGTCATAACTAAGTTTTTTACATTTTAGGGGGTGAAGGGATGACATTAAATGGAATCTTCACTAGGGCTGCAACAACAGATTATTTTCATCAATTTGATCATAAAAATTATGTCTTCAAATGTCTGTTTACTCACAACACAGACACTCAGAGTAAGAGGGAAACTGGACAATATTGGCATTTTTTTTGTCTGTAAAAAAATCTCAAGATTATTTGCTGCTCTAATCTTCACCCAAAGGTGAAAATTAGAATTATGAATTTATTAAATGCAAGGTGAACTGTCTTTATTCATGTGATGTAATTTTCCAGAAAAGCATTGTGTCAAATTTGTTGTACTGCAAGCATGTGGTGGTCATTGGAACTGGGTAACAGAATCATATCTGTGAAAATTATAACTTTTGGGAAAAATAACTAAGGGATATCCTTGTTGTAGTCCTATATTGCATTAATTTAATGATCCACACAATACCTGATCATGTGACAAAATTTTCATCTTAGGAAGTCACAATAACATTTCGTTAGTCCAGTAATTTGATTATTATTGCCTTTGAGCTGTATTGTGTTGATATTTTTATACTTTGTTAAATGTCTGTAGGTAGAAGCAGAGTTTACTCGCATCACCACTGTACCACTGAGATCGAAATTCATGCAACAGCTGGATCATCATTCTACACAGCTGATTACAATCTTCAAAAGAAAAGGAGGAGCAGCAGGGCGGAAAATAAGGACTATCATGGCAGACTTGGATAAGGTACTTTTTATTTAATTTATTTTTTATGATGAAGACGAACCAGCTGGCCACTGTAGGGCGGAAAATTAGTAGTCTGACCAGTTTGGCTGAGCAGTGATGATCTGTAGTGGTAATTGCTGCACAATGCAATACCAATATAACTACTCTTACACACTTCCCTTGTTCTCTGCTGTAGAATGATGCTGTTGAAACAAGAAGAGCCTGTGTACTGAAAGCACTAATGGTTTACCTCAATGAAGACCCTGAAAATCTCATAAGAGAGTACATGGTAAGTATTTTGGCCTTTGGTTTCTACTGTACTTTCTCTCCAGAAACTGAAAATGTGATTGTTATTTTAGAAGTTTTTGACAAGTCTATCACACAGACGAATAAGATAACATGCAGGCTTAGGGTACACACACAAAACTTCTTAGCAGGCAGTTCCTTAGTGTCTTGGATCCAAACATGACATTTATGGACAACAAGAAAAATGCATCAGATTGCCTGACATTCTAACAGACAGAAAGATTTGGGACATGCTTCCATAGTAAAATTCCCTCATTGAAATCACATTAAAAGCAGTTTGTGAACTACTGTCTTAAGGTATTATTGGAGGCTGGATGGATAATAAATGGTGTGTATATTGTAACTGAAGGTGTATTTGTTCTGTTTTTGAGGATGTTGAAGACAACCAGGAGGCTATGGACCAGACAGTCCTGGGAATCTTTGCCATAAAGATGGAAGGTGCAGAGTCTACAGATGGCCTTGCAGATGTTGGAATAATCATTGAAGGTGTGGAAGTGCTCCATGACCTTGATAACACTGCAAATGCAGTCGCCATTTTGTTTGGCCTCATGTACTCACTGGACCTGAGCTATCCAACAAACCTGAAGTACACATTTGAGGTTCTGCAAAAACTTGTGATGGAACTCGATGGCAACAAACTTTCAACAAAGGCTCAAGTGCTAAAGAACAAACTATTTGAAGGAACATTTTAGAGTGTAGTGCTCCTGAGCAGCACAGAAGAAACTTGGAGGACAAATTCCATCCCAAACCATCTGGCAGAAAACTGATTTTTGGATCTGCATGTTGAACTGTGAACTGTGAACTGTGAAGAGTGGATCAGATGCACTAAATGTTTAACAGAGTTGAGAAAATGTTTACAAAAAGAGACAATAACAAACTTGAAAAACACAAATGAGAAGTTTGAATTCACGTCAGCTGCAGAAGTGGAGATCAACAATGTGAAATGGAGAGTGATGGGTGAATATTGAAAGTTGTAGCAAGGAGGATGAGAGAAACAAATCGAAATCGTGTTTATGGTGCTGTGATCAAACGTTGACCAAGTTCCTGTTCATAAGATTTGGTACTGTCTGTTGAAAATGTACGTTGGACTACTTTTTTTATTTTTCCTTTTTTTTCCTTTGTGATTTAATTTTAGAAAACACTGCACTGATTTGTTTGTTTTTTTACCCCTACAATGCTGAAGTGGCAGGGAGGAAAAGATAATTTTGAAGTATTTTTACTTGACATTTGTTCACCCTATTCATGTAGATGGTTCTACATGAATAGGATGGATCTTTAAAAAATCAGTATCTAATGTTTCATTGTACAGTGTTCAGTAATTGTGAGGAGAAAAAAGCCATGTTCATTCTGCCTGCTTCTTAAAGAATATAGCTTTAAGTTTTGGTTTGGTTTTGTAGGTCCTGTAAGAGATTTTTGTTTTCATTGGGCATTTTATACAAATTTAACTGTAAACAAAATTGAGTATTTTATAGCATAAAAAACATTTTAATATAAACATTTTTATTTAGAAATGGGGAAATAAAAATAAGCTATACATGTTGAAAAATGGTTTTTGATATGCAGGAGCAATTTTAAGGTATAACTCACGCAAATTCAAAGTTTGTGGTTTAAAATTTGTTTGTTTGTTTTGTTTGTGATTGTTGTAGTTTTCCATTGGCAATAAATAATATTTTTCACAGAACTAAGGTATTGTAATTTGAATTTACTTAACTACATTGTGTGGAAATTGTTGACATAACTAGGTTTAGTAAGTCCAACATTATTCACTAGCTTGATAACAATGAAAACTATGTAAGTACTGATTATTCAAGTCAGTTTAGTTGGAACTACAAGGGGTTGTTCAATTAGTGTTACTCAATGCAGCTGAGTTACACATAAATTAGTGAGTTAGGTCAGTGTAATGAATGCCTGTTTAGTTAGCTGAACACTGCCTGATCAATTAAGGCTAACTTGACCAGATAATATTGAAGTTACTTAATACAGTCTTGTTGGTTTCACATAAGTTCATTATTTTCTCTGTAATTATAGTATTAAATTAGTTTGAACACAACACAGTTTTGTGGAAATTGTTGACATAACTATATTAAGTACATTGAACAAATTATTTTTTTGAGTGTGGTGCAGCCAACCTGGAGCTAAAGCTCTAAGCTCTTGAACCTGCCAAAGGCTATGATGGTGCACTTCTACACTGCCATCAAGTCCATCCTCACCTCTTCATCACCACATGGTACGCTGCTGCCACTGCCAAAGACAAGGGCAGACTGCAGCGTATCATTCAATCCCCTGAGAAGGTGATCGGCTGCAATCTGCCATCCCTCCAGGACCTGTACGCCTCTAGGACTGAGGCGTGCAGGCAAGATTGTGACTGACCCCTCCCACCCCGGTCACAAACTCTATGAAACACTTCCCTCTGACAGGAGGCTGCGGTCCGTCAGGACCAGAACCTCAGGCCACAAGAACAGTTTCTCTCCGTCTGCAGCTGGCCTCACACTTGGGTTGAACAATGTTTTATTGCAACTGAAATAAGTATTGTCACTGAGTCGAGAACCCCCCCAAAAAAAAAGGCATGAAAAGTTTAAAGTTAATTTCACTTTGATATTTGTGTTTTACATTGACAATATTTTAAGTATTTTTTTTTTTTCTTCATGTCAGTCTTTTTCAGTTATTTTGACCCTGACAGGTTTTCTTCAATGACAGTGGTTTTCACCCCCCTGAACATACACGTATATAATAGGGAAAAGCTATATCTATAATTAGTGTAATATTATTGCTACAAAAGTAATGTATGGGAGACATCAGTTCACACGGCAAACTCAAAGTACATATCAAAACAACACTCAAAGAGGACTTCTGTCTGAAACATCCACCACGGAGATCAGCAAGATAGGGATATTGACCCAGTGTGTCCGCATGTAGTTTTCTTGCATCAGTCATCAGTGGTAAGTGTGTATATATACACCGGAACACTACTTTTAGACGTGAGCTATTTGTACTTAAATGTATTTTAGGTAGTAGTTCCACTTTAGGATAGTTTATACTTCTACTCCACTATGTTTCAGAGGGAAATATTATATTCATCCTATTCCACTACAATTTATTTGACAACTATTTAGCTACTCTAGGTGTGAATCAGAGTAATAACTAGTTCTACACATAACATCTAACCACATCAGTTAAAAATGCAGAATACACCTGGAGAAAAAGGCTCTATTTCCTCGTGGGCCAGGAGGTGGATAAGCTGACATTGGCCACTTGCTAGTTGTTTTTCCCACAATCAGGATAAGGATAGGCATGGATAAACACCTTAGATATAGTTTATGAGGTTATTAATGATTTTGGAACATGTTGAGATTAATATACAGCCTGTGAATGCCATCTTCATCAATATATCAGATCATTATGTATCTGTAAGAAAAACTTGTTGATTGTAATAAATAAGGGATTGATTAACCTCAGGGCCAAAAAGCAGTATTTAAAAAAAATCCTAATGATGCCTGTCCCTATGTTTGGCCCATCTGTGTGTGTGTGTGTCATGTTCTTGCATCAGTCAGCTGCACTTTGCTGACATAAACAAACATAATATCTGCCATTACCATTGGTCCTGAATGAATGAATAACCACACACCTCTACTGAACCATGAAGAGCAATCAGCATTTATTGGACAGTATATTATATGAAATACATTTATGTATTTAGAATCAGTGTAAATTGAAATAAAACAAGAAAATGTGCAGTAAATATTGAGATGCCAGATAAGCTGGTTAATTATTATCATATACTTAAATACTATCAACAGTTTTGTCCTTGAACAAGAAGTAAAACAGATTATTCTTTGAATATAATATATAATCAATTAAAGGCAAACAAAAAGTATATCTGCATGTCATTTACAACAAGCAAACTCAAGTACAACACTCAAGAAGAACAGGGATAACACATCTCTAATCATCGAGCCCACAGGGAGCTTCAGTGGGCAATCAGGCCTCTGTTGTTTCTCTCCACTCAGCAAACCTGAAACATCCATCAGAGAGGTAAACAGCAAGGTTGTGATATTAAACAGCAGGGCTGTCATATAATTTATCCTTTAATGTTTGAATGCTCGGTTTGGATCATCAGTTTCATTAAAACATACCTGCGCACATGTCAGGGACGCAGTGCAGCTGCTGGGCCAGATGAATCAGCTTCTGGCCTAGCGTAATTTAAAGCATGGTTAGCATTAGTGAGAGCAGCTAATAATCAGGGCAACATGTAGACATTTCACAATAGTTTTACCAAATCAGTGACATTTCTTCATCTGGGCTTCCCTTCAGTTCATCGTAGCATTTCTTCACCTCTGCAAGCTCCACTGTAACATCTGAAAGAAAATTAATAAACATACTTTTTACTGTTTATTACACTATTTGTTGAAATGTGCTGACTTATTTATTTCAATAAAATATTCACATTATTTTAGTGATAATGTTATTTTTTACCTGGTATTGTGTCACCATCTGTTTTTAGTGACAGCTCGATAGATTTCTGCATGGTTTTCTCCAGAGTGTCCAGGACGTGCTCCTAATTCAGCATTAAAATCTTTATCACTTATCACTCGCAGAAAAATATTGTGTTCAATTAACTGAATCCTACATACATTTCCTGTTTAGATGTGTGTTCAGAGGGCTGTTCAGATTGGACAAAAGAGTTAACAGCTGCGTATGTTTTTGGATGTTTCTGTCTTATATTAATAACAATAGTTTATAGTTTGTTTGTGACAGTGCCTGCAGTGTTTTTAGTTGCAAAAGCAGCTTTCAGAATGATGCAAATTCCACTTGAATATAAAAAATAGGGACCTAGAAATGTGATTTAAGAAAAAGCTGTGTAGCAGAACATGTTTTACTACTACATATTATCACCATAATGATAATGTGGCCTTATAAAATGTGACAGACCTTCAAGTCTCTCAGCTGGTTCAACATTTCATTTTTAGCCTGCTGAAACATGATGTTCTTTGAATCATGTACATGCTTCTCGATAGTGTCCCTCATGTTTTTCAGCGAGTCCTTTCCTTTAAAGTCTGCTGCTTCTACAACGAAATAGAAAACAACTACATTTCAATGCACAAACACAATGTACATTTTTGTAGTGTCAGGTTATTTATGATTAGATTCTCTTGCTTACTTTGGTAGCATTCTTTCATGGCTTCCTCGATTGTTGTTGTCAGACTGCTGTAGATTGTTTTTTTACGCTCCCGGGTGATTTTGTTCAGTTTTGTCTTCATTTTTTCTTCCTTAGAAGAAGAAAATTAAATATAGATCAACATATTTTCAAATAAAATCACAGTTACAATACAAATCATGGTTCATCTTTTTAAATATATATATTTTTATTTTTAGGACCTGTGGCATTTAGTTTTTATCTGCATTGCTACCAACATTTATATTAATAGCATTATTCATATACCGTGTTATTATGTTAACAGTTCAAAATATAATTTTATCGTGTTTAATTCAATATTTAATCTTCAGTCACAAACTTGATGTTTGGGTTGATTGCTCACCCTAAAGTCTCCCTGGACAAACAGCATGATAATAGACTAATGGATAGGATAGTAGTGTTCTCATCTTTTACCTCCGTCTTGAGAAATATGAGCTGCAGTTCAACATTCCCGTGCTTTTGAATCAGCCTCTCTGTGTCAAGTGAAAAGTTATTGATGACCCCGTTGAATGCTCCATATTTTCTTTCGTTTCTGAAACATGTTAAGTTGAAATGTTTCATAAAAGACAATTTTGTATTTTGATAATGCAAATTGTATATATGTATTATATTATATCATTCATTCATTACGATTCTCTATAGTTTTAAAATGGGTCAACCAAGGGTTTTATGTCTTCATTAAATCTTTTCTTACGGGAAGGTCTTCTTGAATTCTTCATCAATGCTGTCAGTCAGGCGTGAAGCCAAGTCCACATTCAGGTTTATTTGTTTCCCTTTCTTTGGTGTGTATGTGCCATTGTTCTGAACCACACACTTCAATGTCCTGTGAAAACCGCTACCTGACACCTCACTCTAAAACATAAACAAAAACAAAAATCCAGAACATTTTAGGAGACATAACATAATCATATGAAGTGGAAAATGTTTGGATGTAATTATAATTCAAATACATACAGGATATATAGAGCTCAAGGCTTGTTGACATGAAGGTTTTGATTGTTCAACCCCCTCACTTAGGCATTTTTCAAAAGCCTTATAAGCCTCTTCCATGGGTTTTCTGACTTTTTGAAGTTCCTGCCTCATCTTGTCTTCAAGGATTGTGCACACCTCTGTTTTTTGGGAAACCTCAAATCAAAAAAAAAAAAAAAACGTTCAGAAATTCCAACAATGAAACTACTGTATACTACCACCTGATTGGGGTTTCTTTTCAACTATTCATTGTTTATTTATTCATGCAATTGTGTTGTTCTGGAGTATCCTTTATTTACTGTGGTTATGCAGCAAAAATTCAGAAAAATCTACCTCAATGGCAAACATGTATTTAGGGGTGAAGACATGTAGAACCTTTCAGTATTTAATTGCCATTATATCATAGTTACTCCACATAGATTTAAGAAGTCTGTTTTTCACTGGATTTGACTGTAGTTAACTTCAACTTACTTATTGGCTGTGAATATTATCTTCTGTTAAAATAAATGACAATTAAA